CGTATATATTTCTTTTTACTGCAACGAAATGTCGACTGAGGCAAATGGCAATACCGGAGGAAGCAAAATTATCATGGCGAATCATCTTTCTCCTGAGGGCTTCCAGCGAGCCAGCCCCAGACGCCACCTGAGCTCTGTCGTTTAGCGTTCATTGCGGCTTGTTCAGATGCAGCCTTTTGACGCTGAAGAAGTTCGAGTTCCTTTTGTAGTGTTTCCAATGTTTGAAGCTTTTGCCTCAGCTCTGCAACATCAACCTGCAGAGATTCAAAAGGTGTTAATTGAAGGAGATTGAAACTGATTTGCTTTAGTTTAGTTTCAATGACGTAATGAAGCTTGTCAAGAGATGACAGAGAGCTTGGTGAATGGATGTATATTATGGTATAATAGAGACGTGTTAAATACCTCCAGTTTGAAACACCTTGATTGTTCGGCTGCAAGTTGGCCACGAACAGACTGAAGTTCCTGTAAAATTTCATGTACAAAGTTAAGTAATGTTATAAATGTAATTAGAAGACTTTGTTGCAACCAGTCTTTACGAACAATCGTTCACCAATTTATTCATGTCGGCTTTAGTTCCAAGAAGGTGATAATATTATTTACCTTGTACAAATCTGTATTTCGTGATTCTCCTTCTGCTAACTCTTGCCTTAGTTGGAGAGTCTGCATCTTCTCCTTGTTCAGCGATGCCTCCAGTTCTTCCTTCTCGGATTTAAGAGTCGCAATAATGTGTTCGCTGTTGCTTCCTTCGACCTGGGGATTCATTACCCAAAAAAAGAGAGGTTAAGATGCTTTAACTATCCCAAACAAATCAAAAGATGCTGCTGTTCAAATATACCAAGGAGGGAAATTCTGACAAGAAGATACCTTTGATCCAGGGTTAACATTGTCCATGACAATTTCCCGTACTCTGCCTTCTTGGCTCACCTCAACCTCTGACTCAATGTCTCTGGTTGTCGCGTTATTAACAGCAGAAAGACTACCTGGCAAAGGCGGTTCTAGAGTCTTTGTTTGCAGTGTTGATTTGTTGCTTGGTTTAAGCAGATTAATCTAAAGCAAAGAAAGAATTAGAAGCAGAACTGAATGCAAAATCAAGAGAATGGTACTTATGGGTTTAGATCATAGTCCCCACCTCGTTGTTGTAACRTCCGTTATATCCACCAAAAGCAACTAGTACGTCTTCACCATTGTATGAACTCACAACTAAACTTAATCCCTGTCAATAGAACAGAAAAGGAAGATTTGCCCTTATTCTGTCTGAATGATGAAAATGAAACACACAAGGCTGATTCCTTTCGAAGGCTTAAAAAGATTACTACCGTGTTTCAGGAACAATGAGGTAAAATGACTATCTTTATAGTTATTCCGAAATTAATATGATAAAGTCTGTTCATTTAAGTACCTCGCTAGCAAGAGGTACACGTCCTTCAACTGAAGCGACTACCGACCAGGCAAGAGTTGACATGTTTAGTACAACACTCTCAGATGCCCCTGCAGAAATTTATGACAATCAATCACCACACACAAAAATAAAAACGCAAAGCAAATATCATTTTTTCCTAAGAAAAGGTTCCAGGGGTGATAGACAGAAATGGCAGGGAAAAGAAGAGAATATCCAAGGAAAAGTGCATAAACCTACCACTCTTGTTATCACCGCCACCAACAATAAACCAGTTCTCCCCAACTGTCACGCCAGCATGTCCAGCTCGTGGTGTTGGTGCATCACCTTGTTGTGCTGGTCTTGACCACTCCATCTATATGTAACAGTTATATAAGACACTGACAAAGAATGTTTCAAAGCCAGCTGAAACAATAGACGCTTAGCTCAACTTACGGTCTGCAAATCAAGGACATGCAGATCATCGAAACAGGTTGCATGTGAGCCCCCACCAAAGATAAGAAGGTAACGTTCCGCATGCACTGCAGCAGCATGATCAGACCTCGGAGATGGAGATACACCTCTGCAAGTTGAAACCAGTTTAAACCCTGAATTGCTAATCTTTCATGAACAACTAAGATATATTATAGTTATAGGAGATACATGGTGGCTTTCTAAAACTATTCATATTCTGGACATAAATCTAATCTTAAATGGATTGACTTCTTTGAAAGAGAACAAAATGCAGAAACGTCATCAAATCTTACACGGCATCTATCTCATCCCAGGTCATCGTTTCTAGGTCAAGTACATGCAAATCGTTCAGAAGTGATCTCTTTGCATCTTGACCGCCAAATATCACCAAGGTTTTACCCACGATCGTGACTGAATGGCCTCCACGTGAAACCTGAAAACATAATGACAAACAAAGCCTCAGTTTAAGTAACCCAACTGCGTACTTGACTTCCAATCAGAAAGGAATCAATAAATTCTGGATTCAGATGCAACTTAACCCTAAAGATATAATGGGAGGGTAAGCAAGTAAAACAACTTTCCAGAAAAATTAACTGTTTGCAAGACTGGAATATTTCCAAGCAAATGTGATGGAAACAAATGAGACAACATGAGAGAAACAAAGATATACCGGTGCTTTTCCATATGTCTTTAACATTGACCATGTACAGGTATGGGTATCAAAGACCTTCACTGTGACAGGAAAACAGTAAAAAATTATATGTAATAATTGAGATTCCACAAAAATGCAATAAGATGTGTGCAAATAATCGCCTTTGAAGGCATATGTATATACGCTTACCTTGCATAGATTCTGAGGGATCCTTTGTATGACCACCAATAGACAACAGTTTGTTGTCCCATGGTATCTACAAAACAAAGAAGGCAAGTGAGAATAATATATAGCAAGAGTCTTCTTTGTTGCAACCTAATAAAGCAAGTGGATAATATGAAGAGACTACTTTGATTTAGCTGAAACCCCTGTCTTGAATATTGCTAGGCTGGCAAGCCAAAAGAGAGAAACCAAAACAAAACGCAAGAAGTTTAAGCACTAACCAAAGAATGACCAGCACAAGGAGATAGTAACGTTGGAGTTGATGTTTCCTGTGATTCAGTTGCAACCTTGGTTTCAACTCTTGACCAAGTCCAATTTTTTAAATCTAGAACCTATATACATTCCACAGAAGACATGCTTAGGAACTGCCAGCAGGACTGATATCGCCAAGTTAGGTTAAAATGAAACAAAATACTTCAATTACATCACCAGCTTATGCGTAAGAATCATATAAGTTGCTTACATGAAGATCACCAAGGTAACGGCCATTGTGATTTCCACCATATATATACATCTTATCTTGAATAACTGCTGCTCCATGCTGAAATGAATATGATAAACAAGACTTAGAAAATAGAGAAGATACGTGAATAACAGGACCTTCACTTATCTTCAAAAGGAGAGAGAAAATACATTACCTCATATCGAGCTTTTGGCCGCTGTCCTGATGTTTGGGGTGCAGTCCACTGGTTATATACAGAAACAGAAGTTGGGGCTTCGGAGACTACATCCTTATCTTGGGTTTCTACCAATAGTCCATTCTCAGTAGAAATTGTCTTTGTCTCGCCAAATGAGTTCCCATTTTCAATAACGGGCTCATCTTTTGTTCCCTGCTACAGGGAACGAATGCACTAAAAGACTCAAATACTTTGCTTCGGCGAGAAAAAAACATGTAATATTTCCCATGATTTGGACATAGAATCCTACGGATGCAAAGCTCACATTGATTTGGACATCTACGACAGGATCAGGAATATCATTAGATGCCCTCGAGTACCATCCAGGATCTTCTTCCTGATCAAACGTGAGCAATAGGGAAGAAATCAAGCCTATGCTACAGTAAAGTCTTTAAAAATAACCATAGACCTCTCTGTTGGTTACCTCCAAAATTTTCACAAAGAGACGCATTGCCTCGATGGAGGGCATGGTTCCGAGCCCCTGCCAACTAAGTACATATGGAAATGCTTCAGAACAGTATCATGTACTTCTCTCAGGAAAGTTCACAAGAACTATGCAGTAACAATCTCGGTTATGTATGATTTTCTTTGCAAGATAACAATATCTGCAATCACTTTTATCAACATGTCACACGATTCTTAAATGTATACTAAATTATAGGTAAGCATTTAGTTTTTTCCCCAGGGATGCAAAAGCAAATCCAGCATTTCTAATTTGTCTCTAGCAGCTTACAACAAGAACAATCCTTTCATGTTTCTCTGATTCATGAGGCATCTGGATTTTTCTACTCTAGTAATTAATGAGATTGAAAGGCATCTCCTAACTATATCTACCACAAAGCTTCTACCTACAAGTATGATTCACAAAATCAAGCATAGAAACGTAAAAGGTCCTGAGATAAATGCCTAAATGTTAAGTTGCAGACAAGTATTGGCAGACTCAGCACCGAATCTAACCTTTTCCACTTGCTTTGCTCCACTGGTCTCCATGCACTTGGTTTTGGAGTGTTGCATGGTCCTACAGTAGCCTGTTTACAAGTTAAATCCAATATATCATCAACACTGAGCCCATATATCCTAAGGTTGAAGACCAAAAGATGCAGAACAATAAGAACACGTGTGTTGTGAAAAGGCTAATTTTCTGACATTACAATCACATCAAATTACAGAACCAATACAGATCTAAGTAAACTACGATTGAAGGATGGATGATCCGTGAGATCTGATTAACAAAAACTATTTCAATCAACTCGATAATCAAAATGGATCTATCATGTTAAATTTTTCTTAACTCGTACTCTTTCGGTAATACCCGAAAATCCTAACCAGGATCGGAAACAACGATCAAGCTAACTCAGACACGCAAAGTGTACCATTTCAAAAATCTGATAAGAATTCGACGAGACGAATACGAATCGACTAGTAGAAACACAAAAATCAACATCCAAACCACCAGATCTCGTGAAATTCAATACCAAAATCCAGAATCGTGAATTTAGCAATGGAAGAGATCAGAAATGGAAGTTTCTGACCTGCTGATACAACGCATAGAGAATCAGTGCAGTATCATTTGAGAATTTCGAGCTGACTTGTGTCGCCGACGAATCAGATCCGTCGATACCGACGAAAGATGCGGCTGCGTAGAACCTCTCCGGGTAAGCGGGGCCAGATGTTGCCCTAGCCATAGACATTTGTCTCATTTCTCTGACTTCGACCGTGGATTTTGATCGGAGAATGGAGAAGCCGAGAATCAGCGATAGGCGTTTTGTAGTTTCGTTTTATGTTTAAAGATTCAAGTTTAGAAGATGACTCAAAGATATATTT